GGGGGGGGGGGGGGGGGGGGGGGAAGTATTTTAGAACGCAGTGACTGGGAAAAGGACTTAGCCCAATATCATACTGTGAACTTACATTCAGTTGGTTAAGAGCAAATGCAATCATTAGATGAATAAGGAGTGTAAGGGATATGGGACAGATGTCTTGAATAATTAATAACTAACAATTGTTCCTTCTTGCCCTCAAATTAGAAAAGCTATCTACCTGTTTATCTCAAAATAAGATCTACCTATGAGGACAATAAGAAAATGGTTCACATCATGTGACAGTAAGGACCCCACAGATCAGCCAAGGTTGAGTGTTCCCCTCTCCAGTTACAGAGGCTAAAATAGCTAAATAAGTATTGTTAATCACCTAGGCAAGAATCTCTCCTAATATGCATATATACTAACTACTCTCTCTCTCTCTCTCTCTCTCTCTCTCTCTCTCTCTCCCCCCTAGTTAAAAAGAACTCAGTTTCCAAACAAAAGTGGCCTGTTGCACATTGAGTGGGTCAAGAAAAGAGACGGGTGGGGAAGCTGCAAGTTGAACTTAGAAATGTGGCTATAAAATTGAATGTTAAATTGGGCTGTTACCCCCAAGAAATCCAAGCCACATGGTTTTCATCCCAAATTATAAACTGTACATTGTTTCCTTGTAAATCAAATTTATTGTGAATCATCTTTCACCCCAAATTAGAAATGGCACATTTGTTTGCATTGTGAGTCAGATCTATATCCTGTATGTGGAAAATGTCCTCCATATTTAGAAGATTACAATAAAACCAACAAGATCCTTTCAAATTGTTGAGCTCTTGAAGTACTAGGAAATGACTGACACAAGGAAGGAGAAATGTAAAGATGTACAGCAGGGTATAACTTTGGGATATTAAGAGAAATTGCTTAGAATGGGGGATCCCAATTTGTGCAGGCAAATAATGAAATAGTTTTTGAAATGACTCAAACTTAAAGCCTCTGTTAACAAATGTCTTTAATCCTTTTCTTATACACCAACAACCATGTACTAGATACTAATGGAAGCAGCAGAGAAGTAAAGCTCAAACCTGAGTACCTACTTGCTATGTGTCCTATAGGAATTGGAGGGTGGCCCCTTCCAATGAGCACTGAAAGGAGGGTGTATAAAACTGAGGTCACGATGTACTCAGAGTTGACAAACTAACACAAGTGGCTGCAGAATCCTAAATGCAACCAACACCCAACTCAGTCATGTGGAAAGGACTCTCCCTCATCCCAAGGTTAAGAGGATAAGCAGAGGTGGTGAAATTTCATTTCAAACATGGTATTTCCCCTTCTATTCTTCAATATAAATAACTGTAGGTTACCTTGCTGAATCTACACACTCTAGTGAGTCTCAAGTAATCATATCTAAGATCAATTTGTTTGGATTGCTAGAGGAATTAGAGATTGAAAAGAATTGTTTTAAGCAATTGCTTTTAATATTCTAAACTTGTCCCTTTTGGACTAGTCTAATAGAGGATTGTGGTTAGTGCCTTAAAGACAAGTGCACCTTGGGAAGTGTGATGTTTTAGGTACTAAAGAATTGAGACTTGTTGCTCATAAGTAAATGTAATAAGAAATATTGGTAATTTGACTGGTCGTTAATATAATTACTGAGCCTCAATTCTAGTCTGTGATAATTGCTTGCAAGACTATTGTGTGTATGTGGTACACACAGTTGGTTGTGTCTGTTTGAGTAATGAACTGTTGATTATATACTAATGTGGTTTTGGGTAATTTGGGTAATTAATAAATTGTTGGTTAAAAATAAGCAAATGTCCCAATGTAAGAGATACTGTTCAAGTTAAAAATTGACATGAAAAGAACTCAGTGTTTAAACTAGTACGCTAACACTTTGAAATTATCCTATTAGATCAGGAGAGGGTAAACTACAGTCTGTGGGCTGGATCCGGCCCATCAGGGCTTTCTATCCGGCCTGCTAGATTGCCAGCCCTGTGGTGCAACAGGACTAAGGCAGGCTCCCTGCCTGCTCGCAGAAGCAGCCAGCACCATGTCTCTGCAGACTCTGGGGGAGTGGGTGGGGCAGAGGGCTCTGTGCACTGCCCTCGCCTGCACGCACTTCCCCCGCAGCTCCCATTGGCCAGGAATGGGGAACCATGGCCAATGGGAGCTTTGGGGGGGGTGGTACCCGCAGGCAAGGGCAGCGTGTGGCAGAGCTGCCTACCCCACCCCACCCCCAGGAGGCACTTCCTGACATGCTGGCCACTTCCGGGAGCAGTGTGGGGCCCGGGCAGGCAGGGAGCTTACCTTAGCCCCTCTGCCACCCTGGAGCTGCTCGAGATAAGCACCACTGGGCCGGAGCCCACACCCCTCCTGCACCAACCCCATCTTGAGCCCCCATCTGCACCCGTCATGCAGTCCCTCCTGTCCTCTGCTAAGAAAGGAAGAGAGTTTGCTTCTTCCTTTAACATCTCTCCCAGAAGGCCTAGCTTGTACTGACTTCTGCTTTTCGCAAGGCACAGCTGTTTAATCCATTTTCTACTACCCTAAATGCACATGGCTGTCAGCTATTTTTTCCAGGCCAACTCAGGCAGTCTCTTTGGGCTAGGCTTTTATTAAGCCTGGTTTAGCTGGGGGTACAAGAGAGGGTATATAGTACCTCAAACTTGCAATCCTCCCTAGAGTTTGTAAAAAATCATGTAGCATCTACTTACTATATAAGACGCTTTCTATATTCACTTAAATCAACATTTCTGATGGCAGTGAACACCAGGCTTATGAAAAATTTGTTTAAAAGAAAATACATTGAGTTATTTCACATGGAAACAGGCCAGATCACTCATGTTGTAGAAAGACCCTTTCAAAGGCTGTTTACCACTGTATTCACTGTTTCATAGAACACCCCTTTACCCCCTCCCCCCAACAGATAATGCTTTTTTCAGTGCCAAGGCTGATCTAATATTCCTCAGGAATATTTCTTGAAATATGGAGACATGCACCATGTCATTTGTAAGATAAGCAACTTGGTTAGAAAGCTGTTACCTAGCCAACATCACTAAATGACTTCTCAAAAAGAAATTATCAGTTATCTGGCAGGTCTGTCATGACAAACTGTTCAAGATTGCAAGCTATTTATGAAATTCTTGAGAATCTGATTAAAATTCTGATTGATGTTGTGCCATGATAGTAAGCTCTAGAATATGATTTAGTGTCTCTCCCATGTATGAAAACTATACATATGTAGAAGGGCCAGGATTTGAAAACAAGTTACAGCTTTTTGGCTTTACAGTAGTTTCTTGGGGAAGGCTAAGAGGCCTTAAGTTTCAGTTATTTACCACTGAGGTGCCTATATAGCAAACTGCAATGATATGTCTTGTTTTTGTAATCATAGGCAGCAAAACTCCTTTATGAATCCCGGGACCAATAACAGCAGCAAGTTGTCTGAGATCTGAGGGAAGAGACCAGCTCTATGAAAAACCGCTTCTCACTTTTTGCTAGTTACTTTGATCCATGTAATTGGTATTATGAACCCCTCTCTACCCCAAATGTGGTTCACTATGTAAGCACTGGCAAAAGCAATGTGAGTATTTTGGAACCATGAGTATTCACTTATCTAGTGTGCAATATGTATACAATTAATGCTTTAAACAGCCTCATGTTTAAGACTTTATATTATTTTGTTAAGTCTTCGTATTAGCACTTAATATGGAAAATGAAAGTATGACCTGCACTACAGCTAAAATGTATAGCACAATTTTTGTAGTACCAATTATGTATACTATATGTATTTAATTTGTTGGCTACAAACAGCAAACAAATGTATTTGTAAGTCTCTTCTACAGAGAATAGCTTTTTGGGTATAGATCTCAGGTTTTTTTCTTATCCAAATGTTGAAGATCAATGTACAATGAAATCTGCCTTAGATACCCTTTTATAGAAATAATCATTTTGGGTTCTCAACATGTGATCAAACACTTTAAAGATAAGTTTCATCAAATACCACAAACTGGCTTGTATGAACGTGACCTTTTGGAGCCACCCTTATGTAGGAAAATATAAGCTTCCCGAAAATGATTTTGAAGTTTTATATTCATTTTACTTGTGGTAATGATCTTTTGCTAATTAATCAGATTATTGTAACTAATGTTTGGACATATCGTATACAGTATTTTAAATGTACAAGTCTTATGGATCAGAGGAATTCATACTTAATGAAAATAAGCAAAATGCTCAAGATAGCATTCACTTTAACTTGCTAAGCAACTTAAGCTAACTTTCAACCTTAAAGACTTCAATATTCTTGGTTTGAGTGGAGGAGAGAATAAAAGGTTATTTACAATACCCAAAAGTGTTCTATGCCTCCTGTTTAAATGGTACAGTCTGTTCAAGCACTATAGCATGAACTAGAAAAATCTCATGTATTCAGCTGTTCTAAGAAAACAGCTAGGAGTTTGCTGGCTGTACGTGGTAATGAATGAAGTTCAAACATTCAGACTGGCCTTGAAGAACAGAGGCCAGCAGCGTAAGGTGAAAACAGTTTAAGTGACAGGGCCTACCTAGTCACAGAGCAGCACCTCAAGCCTTTTTCTCTTTGTACAGCCAAGATAACCTCTTAGTAGGCACAAGTGGGTGTGCATAGTACAAAGTTATCACCATCACTCAGTGTGAATTAGTTTTTCAGGTTAGGTGGACAAAGGTTACAGTACTTTGCCATTGCCTAACATTATTTTAAAATAAACACTTCAAAATGGAGCCATGCCTTGGCAGTATTTTATTATACACTCATCCAGAGAACATGTAAATGTGCATCATAGGCTCTTGAAATTGTCACATTCATGTAGCCAATGTTCTTTAACAATACCCTTTCACGTTTCATCACCACAATATATACAATTAATGTTAAATGGTGGTAAAAGCAAATTACAGCACTGCATAAATGATATATAAATTATACACAAGACTTGTACATGAAGAGTTAAAGCCAACTGGCCTACACTTTAATGGAAGAAAAAATGCAAAACACATGGCTACAACTTATGAGAAATTCAAAATATATTTCTGGTATATAAAACCATGTACAATTAACTCCAGTGAAGTGTTTTTGTTTTTTTTTTGCTTGAAACTATACTATAGTGGAAAGGTTATTGCATAACACATCCTGGCAATAGGTGTTGGACTGCCAAGAACCACAGAAACTGTCCTTACCAAAATAGCAAATTATTGCCATTCTCAAATCCGCAAACCCCTTGTTTCTCTTCCTCTCATAGACTCTCAATATTAGTACAACTAGCTCTCCACTTTTTAGTCCTTCAACTACTCAGGCAGACTTCAAGTTAGTGTACCTCTTAACTTATCAGACTCTTACCCTTCTCAACTATTGCACTTTCATCCATGCAAACATACAAATCCTTTAATCTTACTGCAAATCCACTGTTACATGTTCTTTTGTTCCAAACAGACAAGTTCACAGGTTAGTGGGAGTGGGACCTGTAATTTAAATTAGTAGAGGTAAAACTCGTGTAAGAAGCTGAATATCAAGAAAATGAACAAGTTAATTAGTGTAGGGTTTTTGAGAAGTATACAAAAACTGTAGTTTTGATTCTTTTAGCTTGTCATTTAAATGCAAACAAAATCTAGATCCTAGCATCTCTAAAGCTTGTTTGAGCTTTGTAAAGGGTATCTTTACACTACAGTGACACAGCTCCAGCACTGCAGCTGTGCTGCTGTAGCATGATGCTTCCTCTAGTGTGGGAAGGGGTTTTTTCCATTGCTGTAGGTAAACTACCTCTCATTCAATAGCTGCATGTATGGTAGGGGTTAGGTTGACCTAACTGTGATACAGGATGTAAAATTGTTCACAGCCCTGAGCAATGTAGCTAGGTTGACTTAATTCTTATGTGTAGAGCAGGTCCTAGACTAGGATTTAAAACATTAGTTAACATATCTTTATTTCTAAATCCTAGAGTATATAGAGCCTTGGTGACTGCTTATGCACTTAACATGTGAAAGTCTTCTCTGCAGCATACACAGAATTAAGTCAGTAATGAGTAAACAACATTCAATGGTGTCAAAAAATATCCAAAATCTTGACATGGGACAGTTATTGTGGGACTAGAACCGAGTGGACAGCACATCTGCAATTTGGAAATTACATTTGTGAACATTTAACACAAGAAGCTTCCACCCATGGACTCTTCTAGAAGAGTATTTTTGGTATTTAGAGTAGAGTTGACAAAATACTGTAGATAGGTTATATGGAATGATCTTCATTTACAAACTGCAGATTTTTAAACCCTTGCCTGCTGTCCATTAACAAGAGAGAGAGCACCATTAAAAACAAAGATTATAAATTTTATTTCTCCAGTTGAAATGTGATAGAAAAGGATGACTCCAGTGTGGGCTTAAGCTTCCAGTTACCAGCCATGTTTTGAACTGCCAAACAACTGAATTCAAGCAAGGGTTCGCTGCCTAGGCTTTATTCTTGGATATAGCTGCAAAATAAAATCAAAAGTTAAATACCCAAGCTTTAGGTGTGATAATTAGAAAACCCACTTACAGCCAAAAGGCTACTTCTGAACGGATTGTACAGCAAAGGGTAAGACATTTCATTGACATACTAAATATGTCCAGTGGACTATGACATTTCTTTAGATTACAAAATGACATGCAAGTCTGAACAATTCAAGGGGAGACTGTTAGAGGCTTGAGTTTCCTTACCTAAATAACTAATGCTATTAATTATTTTTATTTCCATCCTTCAGCAGGTGGCAATAAATGGGTATAACTTTCCACCACTTTATGCAGTCAGAAAGTGAAAGTTTACCTGTTGCATAATTCTGCTCTGCATTTTGGCCACATCTACCTTCTGGGCAGGTGAATAGAACACACACTCCCACCAATAGTGATCCATGCCACAAACTTGTTACATCCCAATTATTTAAATATCTTCATGTACCAAATATCAAGGTTGCTCACAACAGCCACCATGCTATACTTAGGGAGCCAGTTTTATCCCTTTGTTTGATCTCATGGAAAATATCACTATTTAATATGATGCTAAAGATCAATTAAAAAGTTATAACCTTAAAAAAACTTCAGACAGCCTAATGATTACTGTTCTGTTTACTGTCCTGGGTTAAATTCCTAACTACAGTATTTTTTCTACAGCAATAATGCTCAGAGAAAGTGCACTCAGGCCCCAGGAAAGAGGGATTGCCTTCTTTGTGTCACTGCAGCAATGATTTACCTAGAAGTGGCATTGATGGGTTTTAGAAGTTCCCTCTAGTCTCCCACCTAAGGGAAAGTGTAACAATAGGCCAAGTTCAAGGAAGAAGCTTAAAGTAACTTACCCCCAAAAGATTTTTAGGCACATAACCTTCTTTATCATTGAGTCGAGCCCACCACCATTCTGTTTCATTATCATCCTTACGTCTCAGGATAGTAATGGCATCTCCTTCATGGAATGACAACTCGTCATTATTCTGGGCTTCATAATCCCATAGAGCATACACTACTCCTTTGTTCATGACTCCCAACTTCTCCTGTACTCCTGTTATCAAGAAATAAAAGGTAAACAAGAATATTACAGATGGCAAAGTACCTTGACTTTATCCAGTTGGGATTTTGGGTCCTCCTCTCCAGTGGAACACGCTGAGAGACTTTCATTCTGCTGCAATTTAAGACTGTCAGTGTTTCCATTATAATTTTTTCCCCCCAGAAATTTAATTGGAGATTAAAACCGGATATGGCATAAAACTTGTCATAGAAGGTTGGGAACAAGTTTTTTTCTTTTCATTGCATGTGTATTTGAAAATTAGTTGGCCTTACTTTAGTTGAAATAAGGATGCAAATTAAGGCTGTCAAGTGATTTAATTGCACGATTAATCGCAATTTTTTAAAACAAATCAATCACACTATTAATAGAATACCATTTAAATAAATATTTTTGGATGTTTTCTACATTTTCAAATATATTGATTTTGATTACAACACAGAATACAAAGTGTACAGTGCTCTATTTTTTATTACAAATATTTGCACTGTAAAAAATAATAATTTTCAATTCACCTAATACAAGTACTGTAGTGCAATCTCTTTATCATGAAAGTTGAACTTACAAATGTAGAATTATGTACAAAAAATAACTGTTTTATTTTTGAATGCAATGTAAAACTTTAGTGCCTACAAGTCCACTCTGTCTGAGCAATTGGCTGAAATCGGACTAACAAGTTTGGTTAAATTTGCAGGAGATAATGTTGCCTGCTTCTTGTTTACAATGTCACCTGAAAGTGAGAACAGGCATTCACATGGCACAGCTGTAGCCGGCGTTGCAAGATATTTACATGCCAGATGTGCTAAAAATTCATCTGTCTCCATCTTCAACCACTATTCCGGAGGACGTGTGTCCATGCTGATGATGGGTTCTGTTTGATAACAATCCAAAGCAGAGCAGACCGACATGTTCATTTTCATCATCTGAGACAGATGCCACCAGCAGAAGGTTGATTTTCTTTTTTGATCGTTTGGGTTCTGTAGTTTCCGCACAGTGTTACTCTTTTAAGACTTCTGAAAGCATGCTCCACACCTCATCCCTCTCAGATGTTGGATGGCACTTCAGACTCCTAAACCTTGGGTTGAGTGCTGCAGCTATTTTTAGAAATCTCACATTGGTACCTTCTTTGCATTTTGTCAAATCTGCTGTAAAAGTGTTCTTGAAACAAACAGGTACTGGGTCATCATCTGAGACTGCTATGACATGAAATATATGGCAGAATGTGGGAAAAACGAACAGGAGACCTACAATTCTCCCCCAAAGAGTTCAGTCACAAATTTAATTAACTTTTTTTTTAAACAAGCATGGAAGCATGTCCTCTGGAATGGTGGCCAAAGCATGAAGGGGCATACAAATGTTTAGCATATCTGGCATGTAAATACCTTGCAACGCTGGCTACAAAAGTGCCATGCGAATGCCTGTTCTCACTTTCAGGTGACATTGTAAAAAGAAGCAGGCACCAGTATCTCCCATAAATGTAAACAAACTTGTTTGTCTTAGCAATTGGCTGAACAAGAAATAGGACTGAGTGGACTTGTAGGCTCTAAAGTTTTATATTCTTTTGTCTTTGAGTGCAGTTATGTAATAACACCACCAACAAAAATCTACATTTGTAAGTTATACTTTCATGATAAAGAGATTGCACTACAGTACTTCTATGAGGTGAACTGAAAAATACTCATTTTTACAGTGCAAATATTTGTAATAAAAAATATAAAGTGAGCACTGTATACTTTGTATTCTGTTGGAATAGAATTCAATATTTGAAAATGTAGAAAAGCATGCAAAAATATTTAATAAATTTTAATTAGTATTCTATTAACTCAAAAATTAATCATGATTAATCGCACTAAGAGCTAAATTAGTGAGTTAACTGCGATTGACAGCCCTAGTGCAAATCACTCATACTAGTCTCATACACATTCTCTAGCACAACAGGTTTAGAGTTCTTATGTCTTCTTGCTCCGCATAGTTATTACAGCATTTGCTGTATACATCATCACACTGCAAATCTGCCTCAAGGGGTATATTAAAACCCTAATGAAGCCTTTACACTCTTTTTGGTGTAAGTTAGAATCTTAATTTTATTTAATTGCTGCTTCTAGAAAGATGCTTCTCTTGTGATATATGCACTGAACTTAAAAGCTGTAGGGTCATCTGTCTCATTAATTCAGTGACCAAAACATGAATAACTACTCATGATAAGGAATTCGAATAAAGTTTAGATCTTCAGCCTCCTGGTGTGGTCTGCTAGAAGTTTGGGATATCCTGACAAAATTCCATGTGAAATTTACATGGCAACACCCTTTTAACTCCAAAACCCTATGATCATTAGAACTGTTTCCTAGAAAGGAAGGAAGAGAAGTTTAAAAATCATGCACAATGCCATAGTGAGCCAGTGAGCTGACTTGAAGAGGGAAGGATGACATGGTCAAAGAAACAGCCAAGAAAATATTCTGGCACCAGTATTTTGAATGGATGAGGTTGGGGCAAGGGCAATGCTAATTTCAAAGACCTATGTAGAGGATACAGAATTTAACTAGCAACTTGATAGTCAGGACAGAGAAGAAAGGTTGAATTTCAGAGAAGTTTTGAAGGTTTGTCAAGGGAATCATCAAGCATATACATTTAGCAACCTACCGTACAAGAACTGGGAACACTGAATATAACCCTCCTCCATCTCCTCACACTTGTCCGCAGCAGTTTCTATATCACTTATAGTTGAAGCAAAAATTGCTGCCCCGGATTCTACAAGTAGTTTACAGAGATGAACACTATTGCAAGAAGCTGCACAATGCAAAGGCGTCCTGAAACAAAGCCAACATTTAGACATCAAATGGGCCAGGAACCCTACAAATCCAACCTCCAACAAAGGGTTCAGTCATCCTTTAGAAGTTACTTTTGAAAGACAATTATGTTTTTACTTGTGCCACAAACGTTCTCCACATAGAAGTTAAATAAATAACCCAGATGAAATTCTGACCCCACTGAAGCAAACAGATTTTAATGAGAATGGTAAGTTTTCATGACATTTTGGAAGTCTGCAGTATGTTAGCTTTAAAGGGCAGAGAGGCTTGTGCTGGTGAGAAAGTAGAGAGCAAGGTAAAAAGGGCGAGAAATAGCTCAGCAAAGCCAGCTCTCTAAATTCCTCACATACACTAAAGAAGTGCAAGGAAACATTATTCACCGTGTAGTAACTGGAGTTCTCTAAGGTGGGTTCTCCCTGTGTGTCATGTACTTCAGGTTTGCACATGCACTTCATGTGCCCAGGACCAAAGATTTTTCCCTAGCAGTGTCCATTTGCTCCATGCATGCACCTCCACTTTGCTCATGCTCTGCTCACAAGCTATAAACAGGGCTGCCAGGTTGCCACCATTTTAGTTCCTTCTCTACCACTAGGCCCCACTTAGGGAAATTGAGACAGCAGAGAAGGAGGTGGGTAGTGGACATAAGGACAACACATCCTTCGGTTGCTTGTCCCTATGTGTCATTCACTTCAGGTGATTCAGAAGTAGTCTCTCTCTGAGGAGGCGAGTACCCACAGTCCCATATCACAACAGAATTCAGAACTGCTCTACCCAGGGAGGCATCCGAAGCAGCTGCTTGCACCAGTGCATAACGTCTTGCGAAGGTCTGTACAGAGCCCCGTGTTGCTGCTTTGCAGGTATCAATAATAGACACACCCTTGAGGGAGGCTACTGAGGCTGCTTGGACTCTTGTTGAATGTGCTCTCACACTCCTCTCAAGAAGAACATTATTCAGCTCGTAGCAAAGTATGATGCATCCTGAGATCCATTGACAGCTTCTGGATGGAAGTGGCCTCTCCTTCCATCTTTTCCACAAATGATATAATATGTCTAGGAGATTTCCTAAATGACTTCACCCTCTGTAGGTAAAAGGCAAGGGTCCCACGCACATCCAAGAAGTGCCTTATTACCTCTTCCCTAGTGGTGTGTGGTTTAGACTAGAACACAGGAAATGGATGTTTTGGTTAATGTGAGTCTGACACTACCTTAAGGATGCACTTCAGATGCAGTCTCATGAATACCTTAATCTTGTGGAAAACTATTGGAGGGGGCCAGGGGAGGTCTGCCATGAGTGCTCCCTAACTCCCCAACTCTTTTGGCTAGTGATTGCGACTAAAAATGCTACCTTCATTGAGAATTGCAGTAGAGAGCAGGGTACCAGAAGCTCAAACAGCACTTTTGTCAGAGTTGGTAAAACCAGGTTTAGGTCCCAGGCTGGTGAGAGTTTTGCCACAGGAGGGAAAACTGTAACCAAACCTTTCAAGAATCAAGATGTGACTGGTTGTAAAAACACAGAGTAGGTGTCTACTCACCTGTCTCTGCCTATGTTTGGTGGCTCCTGACACTACCTGAGAGTTGCGAGGCAGATGACAGAATAGGTATTCCAACCCTTTCACAGGTACAAAATACCTCTTTTCAGCCTGCTTAGCTACTGGTGGAACTGTGGCAGGTGTCTACCAAAGTGTCTTTGGTGAGTTCCATTCCATTCGGTCCTGAGCTGTGCAAAATATCTAGCAATGCATAGAATGTGTAATGCCTCTGCCACCCTTTTAACCAAGTCCTGGAAGGCCTTAGAATCATCAGGGTATGCAAGGAGGCAGGAATCACTGCCTTGTTGGGAGATGAGGACAACAAGATCACCAGCATGATGGCATCTTCTCCTCCAGATTGTTGTTGTGACTTCTGAGGCTGAGGGTGCTCTTCCTCTACTGTGGGAGCCGGACACCTACGAGGATCCTTTGTCCCATAACATGGGTATGTCAGGTGATAAACTTGGGTCTTCCAGGCCCCAATACTGCCATTGCGTGACCTCATACCCCCTCAGTGTAAAGCCCCAGGGTAATGGATACCAATATGTATAGGGAGGGTTCTTAATTGCACAGGAGTACTGAGACACTCTGGACAATACAGATACCCTCTCTGAGCTCAACCCCTGCAAGACACCCTCGGGAGAGTAGTCCGGGATGGGTGTCCCCCATATTCTTCTTCTGACTCCAACCTCAAATTCAACAGGAGACCTATCAGTCCTGGAGGAGGCAGTGATGACCTGCCTCTATGATACTGGCAACAGTTTAGCTTGACTGCAGAGATATCTGTACTCAATGATATCCTGGTACTGGACATGGGACTCCAGAGAGTATCACAGTGACTCTACTTCCATAAATACAATTAAGTCACCTGCTGCTGAGGAACGGGCTGGAGTGGATAGAATAGTTTCTGTACTTCAGGCCATTGGTACAGAGAAAGCCAGGGCTGGCAGTGTGGATGCAGCAGCTGTTGATGGTGCCAAAGTACCTTGGTTCTGCAATGTGGTGTGGCCTTACCTTCTGATGAAGTCCCAGACTGGTCCTTCCCAGTATCAGACGGTCCCATTCTGGAGCACAAGGTGTCTCCTGACTTGGTGCAGGACAGAGACTTTTGCCTCTTCTTAAAGGACTTGGATGGGGAAGGACAAGAGGGAAGATTATGGGAGACGTTTTGTCTCCCTTCCATTTGCCTTGGCTTTCCTCACCCGAGTCTCTCGGCGCTGGTGGGGGGTGCCTTGGAACCAGCCAGAGCCACTGTAAGGAATGTTCCTACCATCTTTAGACATTTGGGAGGGGGATCTCCCCAGTCAGAGCCCGTGACTGCTCTCATAGACCTCTCCATGAAGAATCTTCTGGGTTAGAACTCCCTTGACTGTTTTGTCCTCCTTGGAAACGACCTGCAGATACTGCACCTAGAAGGGACATGGGTTTCCCCCAGGCAGTCCAAGCAAGTGTGATAATCTATAACCAGAAATGACTTCTGGCAGTCTATGCAGTTTTTGAAGCCAGGGATCCTTGGTATACTCTCCACACTGCCATTGGAAGAACTAGAGGGTGGTAAGAGTGAGTGTATATAAATAGGGCTTATGGTGTGTGGTACAGGAATCGCATCACTCCACACGCCATGGGTGGGATTCCCAAAGTTTAGGAAATCAAACCCCAAAAATCTATCCTAACCAGATTAAAACTAGGACTAATTTTTAAAAATCATCTACAGGGAAAGCTGAAGTAGTCAGCTCATACACTAAAACTTCATCCTAAACCATGAGCTGTAAGAAGGAACTAATATGGTGAGAATCTGGCAGCCCAGTGCAGAGCATGAGGAGAATGGTGGCACATGTGAGGACCAAACAGACACTGGAAAAAATCTTCGGTCCTGGGCATATGGAGCACATGCACAAACCTGAAATGTATTGCACAGAGGGACAAGCACTCGAAGAACTATGGACTACATATTATACTCCTGGGGGAATTCTGCGCCACTGTGCAATGCAGAATTTTGCAGAAATTAACGTTGTGCACACAGAATTTCCTTTCCCCTCCCCGCACAGAAATGGGCTGCAGTACTGCTAGCCACCATTAGGGGCCACTGGACTCGGCAGAGCCCAGCTTGCACACAGAGACACTGCTGGGGGGAGGGAGAGGGAGCTAGAGGGTTCCTGGCAGCTGCAGTTCCCAGTATGCCTTGAGGGAAGGAGAGGGAGGCACACAGGAAACTCTGTGCAAGCCTGGGGCCCAGCGAGCATCAGGCTGTTTCTCCCTCTGAATTCCTGGGATCTTGGGGGAAAGGGATGGGTGTCTGGGCAAGGGGGGGGCCCTGCAGCTAGGCTCTGGGGGAGGGGGGAGGGTGTGCAGGTATCTGGGCTGGGGAGACCCCACGGCTGGGCTCTGGGGGGAGACGATGGGGTGTTGGTATCTGGGCTGGGGGGGCCCTGCAGTTGGGCTCTGGGGATTAGAGGGTTCAGGTGTATTGGCTGGGGGGGCCCCCACAGGTGGGCCTTGCAGGGGAGGGGTTGTGGGTGTTTGGTCCCCTGGATGGGCTCTGGGGGAGGGGGGGAAGGGGACAGAGAAATAGGAACTGGGTTGTCATAGGGGTTTCTTTAACTCTCTACTTCTCGGGAAATTTTTGCGTGTATCTGTATTGTTACAGACATACTTGCTGACAGGTATTCTGAAATAAATTACCAAAATTGAAACTGGTGTGATTATGTAGTGTTATTTTGAGAAATAAAATTTTAAAATATTGTGCGCAGAATTTTTAAATTTTGGGTGTAAAATGCCCCATGAGTAATATTAGGATCAACATTTTTTAAAACTTCCCTTTCTAAAATCAATGGAAAGTTTTAAAAAATTGATGACACAAAAAAGACCTTATAGAAAAGTATAGATATTCATGCATTTTTTAATAACGTAGTTCATTACTAATACTGCCAAATTATAACAATCTATGGACAAAGGATCCATGAAGGTAAACCCACTTTTGGATAAAAATGGGGAAGGCTGTGTATTTCAAGTCAAAATTATTAAACATATGGGAGACAAATTAGAACTATACAGTTAAATATAAACAAAATACAATAGCATTTATTTATTATTTGGAAGAGTTTGTACATTACACTTAGGTGAACATTTAGTAAAGTCATGTATTTCAATGCCTCGATCATTAAAGCTATGTAGAGACCTTACGGCAACACAGCTATACCGATGCAGCTGCACCACTGTAAGATCATGCTGCTCCATGCCGACAGGAGAGAGCTCTCCTGTCAACATAATTAAAGCACCTGCAATGAGTGGCAGTAGCTATGTCGGCGGGAGAGTGTCTCCTGCCGACATAGTGTTGTCCACACTGGCGCTTCTGTCAGTGTAACTTATATCAGTCGGGTTGCATGTGTGTGGTTTTTATCATATTCCTGAGCGACATAAGTTTTACCGCAAAATTGCTAGTGTAGACATAGCCTTAGAGTTTACAAAAAGGTCATTTGGTAAATATATAATTATCTGATCCTGGGATAGCTCTCCACTAAATTTCATTATCAAAACTGACTGAATTGGGACTTTGAAGTTAAAAGTGCCAGCACACTTACCATCCATCACTGTCTGCTGCATTCACATTAACACCAAAATCAAGCAGGAACTTTACAATGTGGTGATGACCAGCACACACTGCATTATGCAAAGGGGTAATTCCTTCATCATTGGGTTTGCTGGGATCATCAACCTATGGGAAAAAATTGAAATACTTAAGCCCAAATCATTTCCTTCACAGAAAAAATGTGGATGAGACTTGACTACATTTAGAAAAGTTCACCTCATAAATGATCCTTTGTACCAGATCAAATTCTCCCTCCAAAGAAGCATCAAGCAGGAGGGCTAAAGGGTTGAACTTTACCCTCAAACCATGACCAGTTCGTTCAGAGTTAGGTTTCTTCAGGTTGGTACGTTTAGTCTGAGTGGAAGAAAAAGCAGATGTTATTCCAGGTTGCATAAATATCACAAAACAGTCAACCAAACAAGCATTACTGTGCCCCCAAAGTGCAGATTAAGTTTTGTCAGCATTTCCATTATAAAACCACAGTGGCAGATATTAATTTTATTACGTGGAAATCTGAAAGTCATTCCAACACAACAATAGATTACTGTTTAAAGAAAATGGTTAGAAGGTACAGTAGGTTAATACTTAGCTCATTCCTCATCTCTGAATATCATAGTTTTAAATCCCATCTGACATCACAATTGAAAGCGAGTGGGCTCATCCTAGTCTCTAGAAAGACTTTGGCCTCATTACAAATGAAACAATTCAGTCTCTGCTCAGGAGAATCTCAGGTTTGAGCTAGCAGGAGTGTTCATTACAGGTGATGACTGAGGTGCAGTAATTTGCTACGCTGTTTGCAGTGGGGAAGGAAAGTTTGCACAGCACTAGACTATTGGAGGTGTTTTTCTAGCCAGTAGTTTCAGGAGAAACATGTTCACAAAATCTGAACCATTTTAAAATGTGTTTTGTTAAACAGTATTTTACACCAATCAGATGCATTTTTCGCAGGCTACTGCAAAATGTTTTAGCAATTTGTGCTTTATGTGGACTACAGGCTGTAGGGTTTTGAAATGTCTGTTTTAAATTACTGTTATACTTAAGTTTGGGGGGGAAGATTATCTCCCCCTTCTCCTCAAAGTAGCCTGCACCTGTTCCCATAGGGAATACATGCAAGGCCCTGTGTACTCCGTGGCCAAGCTGGACCTAAATTCTTCAGCAAGGTCCTTGGATTCTATCACTGCTTTAGATAAATGGAAAAGTAGATGTGCTTGCTGTATTCAGTATGAAAGGTTATAATACAATCTAATGAGTAATATTTTTATATTAAATTTAATCTATTTTATGCTGTCACCACATTTTCAATTATCTACCTAGTGCAGATTTTGATAATGACAAGACAAATAGTGTTGCAGACGTGCCAGGCTGAAACTGCAGGCTTTGGCAGCTGGAAGGGGGGCAGTTGGGGGCCATGGCACCTGGGGAAGCATGGAGGGTAATTTGGATTGTGGGATAAGCACATCAGATGGATGTTTCTGCTAAAATAAATCAGCAATGTTGACATTTATGTTGTCATTTTTAGGGTGTAGAGGTAATTCCCCACTGAGGGGAATATGGGTAGTTCACACTGCCCAGAGCTGTTTTTTCAGACTGTCTGCAGAATTAGGAAAGCATCACTGCTGCAGTTTCCACTCAGGTTCATGTTTACAGTTATCTTTGCAACCCTGAGGTCTGAAAACATTTTTTAAATTTAAGTCTGATTCTGAAATTCAGTTCTTGGCAAAGGGTAATTTCAGATAAAGTTCTGCAGGCTAGAGGATACACATGACCCTGAACATGCATGATCATCTACAAAACATGTGCATCATTTCCTTACTAACTAGCCAGAGTTGCATCTGAAGCAATATTAGTACAGAAACAGCATTTCTGTCAACTTATCCATAGGAATCTTCCATGGTGCTGTGTTCATTTTCCCTTTATTCCTTTGATACCACAAACCTTATGCTATTGTACATCATTTAGCATAATCCCATTGTCTTCCAGTCACTGCAGGAGTAATTGACTGTATAGCTACTTCCAAAGGCCAAGAGTAATATGTAATATAACTGTATTTCTGCCGTCACTTACTGGAGGAAGTGGAGGAGGAACAGCTGGTGGCACCGGAATTTCATCTTCTACTGGGGAGCTGACCTCAGGTATGGGACTGGGTGATTGCTCAGTGGAAGGGACTACAGCAGGATTGTTATTATTGTCTTCAGTTGTCTCAGAGGTTTGGTTAGTGGTTTCAGTGCTAATCAGTTCCTCAGTGGCAGGAGAAGGTAATTCATTATCATTGGCGTCTGATGAAGGAGGAGGTTCATCAGGAAGAGCAACTGTGGGTTGCACAGAAATAGGTTCTTCAATATTGCCATTGGTGCTAGTGTTTCCATTATCAACATCTGCTAAGTTGCCTATAAATTCCTGTGGGTTGCTTGGTTGATAAAAAGGAGCACTTTCTATTCCTCCAGCAAGTGTATTAAAGCGCTGATACAGTAGCTTTTGTATATTTGGTCCACTAGGCCCTTCAGGTTCAGTGATAGAGCTACGCTTCTTTAATGGCCTAGGAGCATTGGCTAATTTTCTTCTAAGAGCTTCAAGATCAGCATCACTTTGATATCGTAGGGGTGAATGCACAATAGGTGTAAGCTTAGTAGGACTGAGAGGGCGAGGAATGTTTTCCACATTGCTATTTTCACCTGATGGTGGAATGTTTTCCAGCTCTTGATCTTTTTCAGTGAACTCAATCTGAGGCTGAGACTGTGGCTGTGATGTGTGGGTGGGCAAAGATCCATGAAGGAATGGTAAAGGTGATGGAGAGGTTGAACCAGACTGTAGGACAGGTTTTCCATAAACTGAAGAGGAGAAAATAAAACAGTGAGGAACTGTTCTGAATTTATATCAAAAAGGTCATGCAATAAGCTGCTGGATGCGCATGCTGCTGTTTGTTCATAAATCAATATAGAAGAAAAAGATGTCAATAGCTAGGTTATGTTATAACCTATCACCCAGTTGGCTGATCAAACTAGTGATGGAGATACTTCTGATAGAGTTATAAACTATTCATTGATAAATGGTAAGAGGAGGGTTGTTTAAAAGAAAAGCCTGCCAGAGACTATTTCTTTAATCAATCTTTGTAAAGATACCTGGAATACAACATATTACATCTAATTCCAATAGTTAATTAGTATGTTTTAAAATAAAGATGTCTCTCAGCACATATCTATTTGCCACCTCAAAAACTACAAACGGGGTTAAATTAAATTGTGATGCCATATTGTTTGAATAAGAAAAAGCAAAATCCTCCTCCTTTCCTCTAAATTTAGACAAGTTATTCAAACAACAAAATAATGCTTTTAAGGTAAGTGTATTTACATTAATCTCAACTAAATTATTATTTATTACAAACAGATCAAAAAGCAAGTCTACTGAGTAGATCTGAGGTAACAGTAGCCTATTTCAAAGGGAAAGGCAATAAATATATATATTCTACCTGCTTTTACTGATTTATTTAGGGTATTGTATACAGCCTGTTGATAGTTCTTTGGTGGTGTTGCTTGCTGAAGATACATTGAGTAGATGGAACTGGAGTTCACTGTTTGAGGTCCTTTTCTTGGAGACTGAGGCCTTGATCCTTTATCAGCTAGAAAAGGCCTGATAGCCACAGTTAAAGGGAGCTCAGGCCTGCCATCTCCGCCAGGAAATGAGGAGGGACCAGAAGGTTGATAAGTAGGGCTAGGAGGTACAGAAATTCTCTGTTGTATCTGCTGTGAGGAACTAGGCTGATGTATATTGCTCGATGGTGGTAATGGAATAGGTCTTTGCCGATTTGTTATACTGGAGCCAGGTCTTGGTAGGCTGCCATCCTTCCGCCTTTCCAGTGAATTTGTAGAACCTGTTCCTAAAGGAACAGGGCTTGGATAGGTTCCATAGTTTTGAGGCAACTGCTTACTTACACCAGGGATAGTAGGTGGCACTTTCCCCATATCAAGGCCCTAAATAAGAACAACAATACAAGTATTGTATGAAAAACTGAGCAGGCTGCACCATCTCACAAATAAAATAAAAATAACCAGGAGCAAAAACATGCACATCTTAACTAGTCAGATTCATATTTCTGAAGGATAAGGAATAATATACATTACATATATACACAATTATGAAGCATGTTTTTTAAAATTGTATTAGACATTATGCTTCTAGGAGATTTTCCACAGAAGACTCAAAGATCAAGAGAACCACCACGCATCAGAGAGAGAGAGAGAGAGAGAGAGAACGAACGCACAAATCTTTCAAGCCCAGTGTAAGATATCTCCAATTACTATATGTAAATATGAATCAAAACAGTATTTGGATCATCAAGGGCTCAATTTTCAAACCTGAGTGCCTAGCTTTAGGCACCTAAGTTTGTAAGATTGACCACAAAATCCATTTGGTAATAAAGTGCAGTAAATCTACACTGCACTTCAAAAAAAGAAATTAAGACAAGGTCAGAACTTACAGTCTAAGAAAAATACAAACCACTGGGCAATGGTGCAAACACCAGAGGACACAAAAAGACAACACTAGCAGGCTCAATATACGATGGATTTGAATTTTTTTTTTTTAAAGGATGTTGAAGGAAAAGAAGAGGGAGGGTGATAAGTGGATAATGGGAAGTTATGCCAAGCAGCAGCAAGTGACAACATGAAAGGTGTGAAACTGAGAAGGGAGGAGGAGACAAAACATGTAAAGGGAGAGGATTAGGACTAGGAAAGGGCTTGAGGGGGAGAGTCGGAGAAAGTGAAAGCAGAGATGTACATGAGTGGCAATACACAGGACCCCGAAGGTGAGGAACACATAAACTTGATGTGATAAGAGACAGGAAGACAGTGAAAGAATTTGAAGAAGGGAGATGAAGAAGATTTTATTAGTGATATTTTTGATAAATGGAAGGGAAGAAGTGAGATGAGCAGAGACCTGAGGCAAACCCTGCTAAAGAGGCCAAAGCCATAGTCAAAAGTTTGATAAAACAAGATTTATAAAAATACTACACAAATTTGACAGACATTATGAGGTTACTGGTTTTTATATGCCGCATACGAAACCCACCAGTTTATCAGTACTTCCTAATACTGAAGATGGCAAAGGTTGACTGGATACAGTTCCTTGTTTTAAAGCAGTATCCATGCTTGATTCCTTCCAGTCTGCATTGGAGATTTGAGGTGGTTTTACCACGGGAGTTGAACTCTGTTTAAGTGTCGGCCAATTTCCATCATTAGCTTGAAATAGAGGGAAAATGTGATATTTATGGTTACCAGTGCCGATCACTGTAAACAAGCAAAACATTTGAAGTGGAATCCATTATTCAGATTAGTTTAATCTCAATGGAATTAATATGATGCAAAAATCAGATAAGCTCTCATTAATGTTAGTGTCTGATCCAGAAGAACAGAATAAAAGCTTAACCACCAGGAACAATAAGCTATTCGTTACCCTTTGACATTCAAATTAATTATATTAAAATCAGCTCTAATGACAGATGGTGAATATTTGGGTGCTAACTGCAATTTCAGCTATCATATTCCAAAATTAAACTTTTTTTTTTAAAGTTCATCTATACATAGAAATATGCCATTAGCGGTCAATATTTGATAATTTTTGGTGAACTACCAAGATACAAGGCTAAATTCTGCAATGTATCAATGTATATCATGAGTAACTGCATTAACTTCAGTGGAGTTTTTCCAAATTGGCACCTGTAGAACTGAACAGAATTTGGCCCAGAGTCATTGATATGTAAGTAAAGACTTGCTGTAACTACATTAATTCCAATAAACAAAAATCTTCCAAAGTATGCATTAATGTCTTTCTTCTCTTTCCACTACCCTCAGTAATTATAATAGTGTCTCCCCATTAAAGATTTAATTTTTCAGAAATTAATCTTAAATCAGTTGAAAATTTCAAGCCACAGGCATATTTATTCATTGTATGCAAAAATATTATGCACAATTGCTTGTAAATTGAAGTTGCCAGTCCTTGACTAAGTCTTTAATGCTTTAGTGTACAATTTTAGTAATTGGAGGAAACAATTCACTTTCTATTTTCCCAACTAGGATAAAAGTTTTAAAACTATCTGAAAGTTAGACCAGTTCCGATTACACTGTAAAACAGTTTTGAATTAGTGCTTTATTCTCCTGTTTAAAAGATCATATTTCAGTTGCTAAACTCACTCTTGCTCTATGAGGTGGATACGGTTGTTTTCGTCCCCCCCACTGCTCTGTAGTGACCATAGCAAAACAATTTAATAGTAGTATTGATGACCTGTGAAAGAGGCACATACAGCCTTACTTTACCAGAGGATCGTAACTGAAATGCCAAGTCTTATGTGGAGAAAGGGGAATTTATTGGGATTCCTGGAACCACACGGTGAGGAGATCAAACGAAGGTCAGCGATACTCAGTGACAAAGCCTTCCCCTTCATCTCAACTTTACAGAAAAATTCTATCTAGGCCTCTCACTGATCCTTTTTTCCATTTCCAGATTTGTCACCATACACTATCTTGTGCAGTTTTTTCCAAAAACAATTTGACTGCTACCCCACAAATAGGCCACATAAGGGTGTGGTAGATACAATGCAGTTTACATCACTCATCTTAGGGCTTATGAACCTGAGCCACTTTTATTTGACATCCAATTTCTAAAGAAGTTAGAATCTGGACACTGTTCAGCAACCCATATTTCCACCATGCCAGTCCACATTCAGAGTTTATCAGCTCATTAATCTGTCTTTACCCTAGCTCACGATTATGTGATCTATTTTCTATCCTTTACTCATTTGAAAGTTACACACTCTGCATGTGAGATGCCCTAGTAATTATCTTTTAAATGATCTTTCCTAAACGTAACACAAAAAAGTTACAATAACATTTTAATTTCAAATCAATCTAGGTTGAATTCTGAGAGATGATTACGTTGGGATAAGAATGCCTGATTGTTAATTTAATACAGTTAAAATCATTGTATATTTTTTGCCCAAAGCACTTTGTATAACATACAGTCCAGAAACTGCTTTTCAGAGTTTGCAGAATGCCAGGAAGTGCTGTAGTCAGGGCCGACATCAAGATCTGACACGGTCCATAAACTGTGCACCTTGTTTTTATTACCATCATCTAGGTAACAAGAGTAAGACCAAAAGAGACAAAAGTAAAAAATACGTGCCTCTAAGAAAGGGCAATTTTTCTAAATGGATATATATTTACTATATGATAGACCTAAGATGTTCTTTAATTCTAGCATGTTTATTACAGTTCCAGTTCATAGATCAATTCCAGCATTTCCTATATCCTATTTATAATAAACAAAGGAATGAAGATTTAGATTTAGTAGTTTAGATTTAGTAGGTAAGAATGAAAAGAGGCAAGTACTAAACTTATTGAAGGGGTAAGAAATAGCAAGACATCATAAAACATATTTCACTCTTATAAATATACATGCACACAGGTTTAAAAAGAATGCTCAAAGAGCTAGACAATTGCATAAAAAATGTGCATTGAGTATAAAATTTCAATTTTTAGAACTCTAGGGACAAGTGCACTTATCCTTCGAATTCTACGGTGAGGAATAGGAACCAAATATGTTCAACGTCTGTCCCTCCAACCTCTCCAGTGTCTCTCTTAAGGGGCCTGGTCTACAGGTTGCTTTAATTCGCACCAGAAGGGTGTAAATTTTAGTCCACACTACTGTGTCGCACACTAACTAGTCTGCGTGGACCCTGTTGGTGTGCACCAAAAGTTCCCTAGTACAAACTAACATAGTCCCACTTAAAACAGTACCATGTTAACGTGCATTAGGAAACTTTTAGTGTCAGCAGGGTCCACTTGGGCCAGTTAGTGCAAGACACACTAGTGAGGACTAAAATTTACACCCCTCTGTTGTGGCCTAAGGCACTATATAGACATGTTCTTGGTTTCCTTCAGTTTCAGAATGCACCTGATCTCATCTTTCTGCCCCCTATATATCAGTCAAACACGTCTGCCAAGTATCATGGACCTTGCATGGCATACATGCATGGAGACTGCCTCTCACATTACCACCTAAACTGAGTGTCACACATTCAGCTAAACTGCAGTAACAGCCTACAAATACAGCTTTGGCCGCTAGAAGCTGCTGGGGAGAGGTGCTAAGCAGCTGCTGTCTGCTACTCCCTCTGGTGGATCTGACCAGAGAAGGACCAGCTGTTAGGAACAAGCAAGCCCTGACAGTGGCAGCTAGGCTTGCCAACCCTCCAGGTTTGTACTGGAGTCTCCAGGAATTAAAGATTAATCTTTAATTAAAGATAATGTCATGTGATGAAACCTCCCAAGCCTCCATCTTCCCTCAGCCACTGAGCTTCCCCCATCTTTCACTACCCAGACACTTCCACAAACCCAGCTTCCCTTAGCTAGTCCCTCCTCCAACACTCCCAGCACTTCTGTTGCCTTCATCTTCTGCCCATGCACCCTCCAAAAATCCAACTTCCCTTCAATATCCCTCAGCCAGTCCCGCTAACCCTATTGCCCAGCTTCTCTCTCTCTCACACACACACACACTTTCATCTAATTATTTAGTCATTTTTCTAGTATATTCTAACAGTAACCGTATACTATAAACCAACAATCTGAAGATACTTGATTTCACTATTACTATTATATTTGGGCCTTTTATAGAACTTTGTATTCATAGATTTCAGACCAATTGATAAACAGGAGATAATGCTTATCCCACAGTCATGTAGCAAGTGAATTGCAAAAGCAAGCGTGAAATCCTAGTCCCACTGAAGTCAATGGGAATTTTGCCATTGACTTCAAGGGGGCTGAGATTTCACCCCAGGACCAGAAATCAGATCTCCCAATTCCCAGCGCAGAAGATCATATAAATCCTCATAGCCTCACACATAATCCTATCTCCAAAGTAAACCTACACATGCCAGGTCTCTCCAACATTGTGAATTCACCCTAATTTATAGATTGATTACCTATACAAAGTTTCTAGTAAGTTTTTGTAACTATTCTTTCAGTATCTTTTTAGACCTAAACACTCAATGGGGCAAACTCATCTGGCAATACTCAAGGGATGAATTTGCCCCAAATCCATTTACTTTCTTTTAAACTCCAAATTAGCCTCTTAGAAAGTTTACATTATAATAGTATATCTACTGCATACCAGGACACAGCACAGTTTCAAAAATTGCTGTTTAATATGCATCTGTATGCATGAGCTCAAATGACCATATTAAAAACTGGCATTCTTAGCTAGCCAGCTATCATCTACACACTCACAGTGCAGGGTGTCAGACAGAGTAGGTGCCAGGCAGATGACACTTTGAACAGCAGACTGAAGAGAGGAAGTGGGAGGTGACAGAATAGGATCCACTATTATGTCTAAATCAGAAATCTTCCAGGTTCCTGGAGATTTTTTCACACACCCATAATCTGTCTCTACAGGACAGGCAGATTCAGTCACACACAAAAAGAAAGAAAAAAAGTGGTGGAAAAATTACAATATAATGGCAATGCAGAAATTAGAACAGGAAAACTCAGAAATACAGAAATAAACACATGACACTTGAAATAAAAAAAATCTCAAATTTGATTTTTTTTCTAGCAGTGGATAGACAATATTTTCATATACAGCTCTTTTGAAAAATTTGCTTTAAATACAATTAGAATCATAAGCATGTAAAGTAAGAACTAGTCTACACTACAAAGTCTTAGAGAGAACAATCTCTCTTTTACTGTCTAAAAAGGTCTAATGCAGAATAACCCCTTGGGGTAGAATACAGCAGCTCTAAAAGTACATATGCAATTATCCAAAAAAATTGTGAGATTTACAAATACCAAAATGGTGTTTGCATATAAACTGCAACTTATGAATTGACCCTTTCCATGTGATAAGAGACTTAAATGCAATAAAACAGAAGCCAACACAAAGGAGTTGCTAATCTGTCATCTCACTTAAAAGGTGACCCCAATCCACGTCCTGTGGACAGAGGTTTAGGACTGTGCATTTCTCAGTCTTAAAAAGAGATTCTTTGTTACCAACCCATTCTTTGGAGTTTTGACTTTATTAAGACATTTACTGACAAATTGTCCAGTGCAGAGAGCTCTAGGAGAATGTGAGCCAATAGGCTCAAGCACCCAAGGCATAGATGATATAGGTGGTTTCCTACTCCTTCTCATATGGGGCCTGGTGTATTACAATATAGACAGAATTGTTAATTATGAGATACATGGGGGCCATAGTGTTGAAGAACATATTATAGATATGACTGCAGAGAAGTCATTATTAGCCTTCATTAGCCGCAGTCGGAAAGGAGCTGGCAGTTAGAATACTAAAGGACATTCCACTGCAGAAGTAGCACAAGACAGACAGACACCCCAGAGCCAGAAACAATCATTTTCAAACTTATTTCGGCAAGCTCTCCTCTTGCTGGGGAAACAGGCCTGAGAATAGAAATCTATCACAACTTCATTTTTTGAGAAGCAGTGTATTTTGCCCAATTCAATACTACTTAAAAAAAAATTAAGACAAAGCAGAATACTTTTAAAAAACAGATGAAAACAAAATGCTGCAAAAATTAGTTGTATTATATTTACAGATTAAATTGGCGTTACATATTGGATTTTAAAATACAAACTGATTTAAAATCTATTATTTAGAAGCAAACACTCCTAGAGCAAAATTGTTCATGGTCACATTTCTGACAATTGTACATGCTCTTTTGTAGGTGCCATATTCAGTTCATTAGCCATGTAAAAGTCTGGCAAAGCTGTGGAGACACTCAGCCTCTTAGGAAAAATGAGTGAGAAGAGACAAAAATACCTCACATCTATCTCGAATGACTAATATGCCCAATTCACAGAATAGCACTGAGAAGTCTAGCTCACTTTGACCAGAGAAGATTGTCAAGACATGCGATCTCCAAGGACCACTCCTTTGCCTCCTCCTACACCAAATATTTTAATAACCATTACACTTAAGTATTTACCAGATTTTGATCTCCCATGAGTCGCAGTGGAAGCAATGGTGAGAGACTGTGGTTTCACTGGGTCTACTGGTACAGCATAACTGCCAGCGCTAGGAACTTGGATGTAAGGCCCCACTGCTGCTACTCTTCCTGAAGCAGTCAGAGATGATTGGGGCGATGATGTTCCATTAATACGATTTAACTAAAATAGACAAATCAAAAATGTCTATTTATCTAGGCATTTCTAGTGTGTTAAGAAACAGTATGGTTGAATAATCTAGAATTATGCACTCTAGACACGTTTGTTAATCAAATTTGAACCAGAAAAGCAGATTTCTATTCCACAAGACAGACTTTGCCCACCTGAAACTAACATAGTTCTCAACCATGGCTATATTTTCCACAAGGAAAATATTTTCCTTCTGTTCAAGGGCTTGCTTCACCTCAGACATTATAAGATTGGGGCCCTAATAGGGCACTGAAAACCAAAAGTGAATCTAACTGTAAGTGACCCCTCCATCTGGGCCTTTACCTGGTCATCAGAAAACACACACACACAGTTAGGGTGACCAGATACCAAGCGTGAAAAATCAGTTTGGGGTGGGAGGGGGTAATAGTTGCCTACATAAGACAAAGCCCCTAATATTGGGATTTCTGGTCACCCTACATATGGTGTCCAGCATGCAGTTGACCACCGTGCTTAATTTGTAATGAAAGAGGTGCTGGGGCTCAAGCAATTTTTTTACATTTATAACTGATGCAGCAAGCCCAGAGGTGCCGGGGCTACGAACTGCCAAGCCTAGAAGTGCCGGGGCTCAGCCTTGCAAGCCCTGGCACAAATTAAACACTAGTTGACCAGGTTATTCAACTACGGGCAGATCATCAAACCGCTTAAATGAAAGTCACCTTTCTGCTCCAGGCATGGAGGTGGTGATTTTCATATTTGGGAACAAATATTTTACTAATTATCCAAACCTAACAAATGCCCTGATGGAAAGCCAAAAATTAAGCCCTCGTTTCTGAAATATTGTTACTGTTGCAAATTTTAAACAATACCCTAGTTCCTAACATAAAAATAAAAGGAAACACATTGCAATCTAAGCTTTTCTTAATCTCTGTGGAAAGAATGACAAAATTCTGGATTTCTAAAGTTTACTATTCTCAAAAGAAGTGTTTTTGTAATTGTGGTTTTTCAGCTGGAGAAAAAAAGTTACATTTTATGACTTTTTTAGGTTGTTGAAACCACTAAAATGTGGCCCTTTTAATAGTTTATCTTACAGGAATGTTTTCTTTTTGACGTGCCTCAACTTTTTTCTTGTATAGTCGCTCACGCAGCTCATTGATACGCTTGTCCATCATAGCCACCTCCATGTTACGTTTGTTTAAAAGTTCTTTCTGCTGCTGAAGCTTGGAGTTCTGCTCCTGGTTAAGCCTATTACGAATCTTTAAAAATGCAATTGTTATAATTACAGTAGATATTTTATTTCATCTGCTGTCAAAATATTTTATAAGATATCCAAAGACATGAAGTAATATAGATCAACTAAGTCTACACTTCTACATAGCCTGTTAAGTAAACATTTGCATTGAAATACAATTCTTTAGAAAAAGACTCAAAAGAAAATATATCCTAGGAAGGAATTGTACGTTCATGAGTATATGCTGAATCATCCAATTTATGGCAACTCCAAGCATCTAAGCATAAAGATGTTTCATGAAGGAACACGGATGAGATGAAAACCAAATCATATATAATATTTGATAGTAAGCTCATCTTTTTAAAGTCAGTTAATTTTTAACTACCTGGATGGTAAAAAAAAAATATTTAAAAAAAAAAGTCAGTTTCAACAACAGAAGCTATACTACGGATTCTGCTTCCAATTCCAAATGAAACCTCTTGATGGATGAATGGGATGCTAACCGAACTGGTGCATAGGCTAGACACTGATTTTCCTTTCTACGTGGGAATTAAGGTGAAACCTTTATTTGAAGGCTTCTAAAGGTTAAGGGGGTGGGTTACCTCTACAGTTTAAAAATCAATCATTGCGTCCTTCATAATTATTTTTCTTGTCTCCCCATTGGCTCTCTTTGGCACCTTCAATAATTCTGATAGTTTGTCCCAGTTCTCCACTTCCCATGTTGATATTACATACAAAAAAAACCTGAGGCAAATTTACATCTTCATAAATATGTAGAGGGTCAAAATGACAACAAGCAAAAATACAGACATCTCAGCAATCTGTTAAGCATGTTTGCACTTAGAATTGCTCCAGAAATGGAGATGCACCTAGTGTAAGTGATAGGGGAAAAAAGGTCACTTCTTTTTCAATTAAATAAAAATGTAAGAACATGGTATAATATTGTGCAACCTGGTATAATACTTTAAATGAAGTTTCCCTCCACTTCAGAGAAAAAAATTATATTATATTTTAGTGATTGTTAAAGAGCACATCCCAATTACATGAAATCATCATACAAGAGTGTCCCCGTTAAAAAAAAAAAAAAAAAAATCACATCAATACCATACCGGATCAGCAACCTTTGGCACGCAGCCCGCCAGGGTAAGCACCCTGGCGAGCCGCGCCAGTTTACCTACCTGCCGCGTCCGCAGGTTTGGCCGATCGTGGCTCTCACTGGCCGCGCTTCACCATCCCAGGCCAATGGGGGCTGCGGGGAGCGGCGGCCAGCACATCCCTCGGCCCGCACCGCTTCCCGCAGCCCCCATTGGCCTGGAGTGGCGAACCACTTCAGTGGGACCCACAATTGGCTGAACCTGCGGCCACGGCAGTAAAACAAACTGGCCCGGCCAAAGGTTGCCGATCCCTGATCTATACTCAAAGGTTCAGAGCCTAAGGATAAAAGAAATACATGCATCCCAAGAAAGTGAGAATTGTCAAAAAGCATTACTTGTATTTCCCATTTTTAAACTAATACATGGTAGAGCTCACATCTCAACCACAAAACACTATAAGCAAATTATAAAATCCATCAAAAAGAACAGGAGTACTTGTGGCACCTTAGAGACTAACAAATTTATTAGAGCATGTTAGT